TCTCTCTCTCTCTCTCGTGCGCGCGCGTCGCGGCTGGCCTCTTGGTACTGCTCCCTCCATAGGATGAGCAAAATCGAATGAATCTGGTGCTATAGCGTGGGACTATACACTGCCATACTTTTTTTCGTTTTTTTTTTTCCGTTTTTTTCGTTCGTTTCACTCCGACGTTCGGGATGCCTGCGCCCGGTAGTCCAAGCCTCGGCACGGATCGGCGTACCGGTCGGCGGAGGCTCGGACTCGATAGCTGGGCCAGGTACTGGTGGTTCAAGGAAATGCTCAGGTTAACAGTGCTAACGTAATGGAGAAAGTCAAGGCAGGCAGGGGTCTGGGGTGGTTCCAGAAAACATGGACCGGTGAAGATTTTCTGGCCTCGATCAGCCCAAAAGGAAAGCTGCAAGTCTCCAAATGGTTGTTTTAAGAGGTACCTGAGCAAGGAAAGAAGATTGAGTTTCGGAGGAAAGTTATTTGCACAATTATGGTAATTCCTACCACAGGCTTCCAGTTTTAGAAGCAGATAGAGATCTTTTTTGAAAATGGATGATTTTATGTTCCTGTCAGTTCTCAAGTGGTGACTATGGACTTGACATCTTTCAATGGAGATTGGCGTTTTAACTTTCAACATCCGCAGAGGAGGGCTGTATTGGGTGTAACTTAGCCCAATGTAGATCTGCTGCTGTTAAATTCTGTAATTCGTTCAGGGCTGTATGAGCCAGGCTTTGAGAACTGACAATCTTTTACTGTGCTTCAAGTTTAATTTCTTTTTGGATAAGCTTGCTTAGAGGGGACCCCGGAACCGGTTTCCAGCATTTGGGGCCTGAGTAGGATGAGTTTTAGAGCTGTCAGTAAGGGTTTCGAGCGATTGCTCGTAAGCGAAACTGGCTGAGGCTGCCAGGTAACCCCGGGTTGAATTGTGAGGTCCCCGGCCTCGCCTTTTTTTTTTTTTTTTTTTTTTTCCAATTCACTTTATTACGAAATCACCCATTTGAAACGAGGCCTGGGACCTCACAATTCAACCCGGAGTTATCCCGGCAGCATCAGCGGGTTTAGCTTATGTGACTTCAATCTCATCATACTTCGAACCTACTACTAGTCACTAGTCAAAAACCTCTTAAAAATCAATATCTTGTCGGCCCACCAATTCTCCATCTATAATAAGCTCTTCACAACGTGTCCTTATTATCATACTGACCCTTTGTCAAGTTTTACTTCCAAAAGAAAGGTTAAACCTTTATTATTAGCCTACTCCCCTAATCCCTATTTCCAATTCTACTCGTGCTACCCTATTCACAAGCCTATCATGGCCTGACACCGGCCTAAATCGGCCGATTGGAACTTAAGTTCCGCAGTACCCCATGGCTCACCGCCCACCTCCTGCGAGATTTTCTCGATTTATGCGTGTCATCCTTGCGCAGGGGCCATGCTAATCTTCTCTCTCTGTATCGTTCCAATTTTAACGGATGTCCCGAAGGACCCTCCTGCGAGATTAGCCTCCTGCGGCTCAGGCTTCGAACCGAGTGCCCATGTTCGTAACAGAAAGGAGTAGTGGAGCCAGGCCCTTGGTTGGTGTTCCCCGTACTCTATAAATAGATTAGCGAGAGGATGAGGGAAAAAAAAAAAAAAAGAAAAAAAAAAAAAAAAAAGAAAAAGAAAAAAGAGATAGATGAGGAAAATTGAGAGAGGAATACAGACAGATCAGTTTTAAAAGAAACACGTCGTCACTCCCGCGTATTCGCGCCACCTCTCTCACTGCTTCTCCTCCCTTTCCCACAGACACGTCGGCAAGGCACGGCCCAAGACGGCGGGAAGTGGTGACTCTTCGTTTTCAGTCCGCTACTCACCAACTGTCCAGATTTGACAGGTAATTGAATTGGTTGGGCTTAAAGAATTAGCCTTTAAAAAAAAAAAAAAAAAAAAAGAAGTGCAAACAAAATGAGAATGAATCCTGCGCTAGAACTGGGGAATATACACCGCCATAATTTTTGTCTTTTGTGTATGTGGCGAGTAGTGGAGCAAGGCCCTTCATCCCAACCCGACCCGCCGACCCGCCGACCCGCCGACCCGCCGATCCCACAAGGAATGCGAAAGCCGCTGCGCTGCGCGGGCGGGTCGCTTTTCCGCGGATTAAGAGATACTACCGGTAGGCCTCCCTCCACTACACAGCACTCTACATGCATTTGAACGTTTACCCGACTCGATACATTCGAAATGTTGGATTTGCCGGAATGCACCTGCTTAGGAAAGCCTCCAAATGCCCACTGGATAGTGTTGTGTAGTGGAGCGAGGCCCCCGCCTCATACTCATATTCGGTGGAGCGAAGCGGGAGTGACGCGGCAGCGTCTTCAGGGCGGGAGACGCCACGTGATTGTCTGTGCTGAAATGTTTCAAGCAGGAGCTCGCTCCCCTACACAACACTCTACATGCATTTGGAGGGTTTCTGTGCGAGGTGCATTCGGATGAGCGCAACATTTTGAATGTATGAGGTCCATAAAACTTCCAAATGCATGTACAGTGTTGTGTAGCGAAGCGAGGCCCCAAGAGTTCCGTGTGTTCCTGCGTACTATCTACGCGCGCTGGCTCATTCCCTTTTTTTTTCTTTTTCTTTTGGGATCATTCCTTATGGCCGCCGCGCGTGATTCTTTTTTCTTTTTTTTTTCCAGGGAAAAAAAACAAAAAAACAGCAAGAAGATTGCACTTTGCCGCTCCCGCCGTTCGCCGTGCGATTAGCAACTAGCAATTTTTTTTTTTTTTTTTCAAAAACAACTAGCAAATTGGGTTTGTGTCATTTGAAGAATTGTCCTTCGGGACATCCGTTAAAATTGGAACAATAGAGAGAAGGGTAAATTAGCAAATGGTCCCTGCGCAAGGATGAGACGCATAAATAATGAATGGAGAAATGGTCTCATTTGAGGCTCGCCTGCCGGCTCGGTTACCCAGACCAGGGGCTAGGTCCCACTTGCACGAATTATGCGATATTGACCGTAGATGACAAAGATCAACGGCCAGATTCTCGTAATCCGTGAAAGTGGGACCTTGCCCGAGGTAACTCAGGCGATTAGGCATCTGCAGTGTAAACAACAGAGTGGGGGGGTGTTGGGGGAGAGTGGGGGGGTTGGGGGAAGAGGGGGTGGGGAAGTCATCTGGAGTGGAGCCTTGTAGCTATTGCACTTCTTCACGACTGGGGGCCTCGCCACACCACTCTCGAAACGCGGAAAAGACAAAAATGTGGCGGGTGCATCTGGCCATGTTCTAGCATGAAGTTCATTCTCGTTTTGCACATTTCGAGAGTGGTGTGGCGATACCCTGGCACTCGGCAGCTCACTCCCCTGCTCACCCGCGGGCGAACAGCATACGCGGGCGTTCTTGGTGTTGTTCTTTCTTGCAATGCAATATTCACAGTTTTTTTTTTTTTGACAATATTAACAGTTGGGATTAGTACATCATGAGCTTTCTTTCATTCATTGTCGTTGTCGCAATCTCTTGAGGAAACCACGACTCCGAACGCTCTCTCTCTCTAGTCTTCTCCGTCTTTTTTTCGTGGTGAAGGCGATAGAGGCCTAGATTATCGTTGTCGTCGATTATGGGCAATGTAGTGCCGACGGTAATTTCGCTCACTCCGTCGTAGATGAAAAGATAAAAGATACAGAGAGCGATTGAAGTTCTCCCCCAACGCGCGCGCACACACACACACACACACATACACGCATACACACACACAGACACACTGATGCCAAAGAAACACGTCGACAGTCGTGGTAATGTAGTAATTAATACTAATAATCTGCTGGATTTCAGATTCACTTTGCTAGGTAAAGGTCAATCGTGTCCGTCAAGCTCTTTGACAATGCGGTGATGAGAGAGAGAGAGAGAGAGAGAGAGAGAGAGAGAGAGAGAGAGAGAGAGAACATCTACGGTTCACCGACCGACTAATCATCCACGTAAGCAAAGGGAGGAGTGGGGGAAGCAGGAGGAGGGAAGGAGGAAGAGGGTAGGAGGAGGAGGGAAGACGAGCACAGAGAGAGAGAGAGAGAGAGAGAGAGAGAGAGAGAGAGAGAGAGAGAGAGAGAACATCTATGGTTGACCGACCGACCAATCATCCACGTCAGCAAAGGGAGTGGGGGAAACAGGAGGAGGGAAGGAGGAAGAGGGTAGGAGGAGGAGGGAAGAGGAGCAGAGAAGGATAGGGGGGAGAGGGAAGTCTAGGTGATAGTGGAAAGAAAAAGTGGTGGCGGAGAGCGTAGTAGAGTTAAGCTAAGCTAAGCTAAGCTAGTCTATCTGGTGTGTTTAGTACTTGTATATAATATAATATAAATCACATCGATCAATAATACATCGATATGACTTTTTCACTGCCTTTCAAGTCATTACGGTTATGGAACGACACTCGCTGTGATGGCCAGGGGAATGTTCCTCCTCCTCCTCCTCCTCCCTCTTCGTCACGATCACCATCTTCGTCTATAGCATCTCCATCTCCATCTCCATCTTCTTCCTCACCATCGCCATCGCCATCGCCATCGCTATCGTCTTCTTCTTCTTCTTCTTCTTCTTCAGCGTTGATGGTGGCTGCCAACGACAGAAACATCCAAGGGCTTAGATTCGATTCTGGTGATCGTCAAAGGAGTAGAGGTAATGGAGATCTAGCAAGTCATTCAGTCTCGATCGCGTCTCAGCGAGAGCGGGATCCCGACCGAGGCTTTCCGTCTCGGTCAGGTAATCGGAGGAAGATCGTGATAGCCGTCGATCATTCAGAAGACAGCGAGAACGCCGTCCGATGGGCTGTAGATAATCATCTACGGCCCGACGACCACGTGACTCTCTTGCACGTGAAGCGGCCCGCCGACGCATTATGCGGACCTGGAGTCTATGCTGCCTTCTCCGATAGCTCAATGGCTCCAGAGGCTATGGCAGAACCGGACTTGAAGCAGGAGAAGAGATTGGAAATGGCCACGCAGGCAATGACAGACAGACTGAGAAAGATGGTCTGCACGCAGACGACTGTAAGATGTGACCCGCTCATCATTGACGACCTCGACGCTAGGGAACGCATCTGCGGGGAAGTAAACCAACTGCGCGCCGATACGCTTATCATGGGTAGTCGGGGAATGGGTCGTGTTAAGCGGTAATGCTCTCGACCGCTTCGTTTTTTTTTTTTTGTTTTTTTTTTTCCGCTTCTCTTCTATTTATTTGTGTTTATATTTTAATTTAGGCAATTGTTATTATGGTAATAAATAATAGCATGAAGGAAGAAAATACTGTAATAGCGGTAATGCTCTCGACGCCTTCAGCAGATTTACCTTTTTTCCTTTAAAAAAAAAAATTTAAATAAGATTTACCTTTTTTCCGTCAGTTAAAGTGGAAACATACATGAAACGAGTAGCAAAACGTTCGTTCCATTAATCGGAAAGGATAGTTAGAGTATATATCGTTGCAGTATATTTATATATATATATCGTCACAAACAGAACTGCCCGGTAAACCGTAGGCAGAGAGAGAGAAGAGGACAACAAACGAGGGGCTGTGATATATATATAGTTAAGGTAGATTATCATTTACAGTGTAATCAGTGAGGGGATTCTGCAGACTGTTGAGGGTTCAGCCTCCTGATGAGTCGGTGAAACTCCGACGAAACAGTTTGTCACAGCCCCTCGTTTGTTGTCCTCTTCTCTCTCTCTGCCTACGGTTATATAGATATATATATACGGCCTTGTACGCAAGAGGTTCTGAACAGGGGGAGTTGTAAGGAAGAAGATTAAAAACGAATTTAAGCTTTTTTGTTTTCCTTGTTTTTTTCGCTTTGGCGCTCTGATATTATGTGACAATATATATATACATATAAATAGTTTGTCACAGCCCCTCGTTTGTTGTCCTCTTCTCTTTATCTGCCTACGGTTTACCGGGCAGTTCTGTTTGTGACGATATATACATACATGTATGTATGTATACACACATACATATTTGTATATCGTATATGACTATATGTAATATGGGAAACGTGTTTGTGACGATATATATATAGAGCTTTCCATCTGGTGTGGGTGAGTGATAGTCTACTTTGATTTTGGTTAAGGTAGATTATCATGTACAGTGTAATCAGTGAGGGGATTCTGCAGACTGTCGAGGGTTCAGCCTCCTGATGAGTCGGTGAAACTCCGACGAAACAGTTTGTCACAGCCCCTCGTTTGTTGTCCTCTTTTCTCTCTCTGCCTACGGTTTACCGGGCAGTTCTGTTTGTGACGATATATATTGTCACAAAGATGTCAGAGCGCAAAAGCGAAGAAAAACAAGAAAAATCCATATGTTCAGCCTCCTGATGAGTCAGTCGGTGAAACTCTGACGTCAGCGAAACAGTTTTTCACCGCCCCTCGTTTGTTGTCCTCTTCTCCCTCTTGTCCCTCTCTGCCTACGGTTCACGGAGAAGTTTTCTACGACTATATATATGTACTGACGAGTCGGTGAAACTCTGACGAACTGTTTTTTGTCACAGCCCCTCGTTTGTTGTCCTCTTCGCCCTCCCTCTCCTCTCTGCCTCCTACGGTTTACCGGGCAGTTCTGTTTGACGATATATATTGTCACACTGTAAATCAGAGCGCGAATGCGAAAAAAAAAGAAAAAAAAACAGAAAAGGAAAAGAAGGAAGGAAGGAAAGCCCCACCTGTTCATCACCTCTTACGTACAAGGCCAGCCACGTGGATGACAGGTTGAGCGCTGGCTGCCCCCATCCCCGTGTGTCACAAGGACCCACTTGCACGCAGCCAAAAGGCAAAAAAGAGGTAAAGAAAAGGAGGAGGAAACCAAACCTTATATATACACAGCCCGTCGTTTGGCCTGTGGGCAGCGGCGGTGCTTGCATGTGGGACTTGTCATCTGGGATCTGTTTTGTTGCCCCCTGTTCTGTTTTATTTGGCTGGTCCCTTCCTCTCTTCTTTGCCTCTTTGCCTTCTGGTTGTGTGCAAGTGGGTCGATATGACACACGGGGRTGGGGGCAGCCGCCGCTCAACCTACATCCACGTGGGCGGCCTCGTACGCAAGAGGTTCTGAACAGGGGGAGTTGTAAGAAAGAAGATTAAAAATGAATTAAGTTTTTCTTGTTTTCCTTGTTTTCTTTCTGTTTTTCGCTTTGGCGCTTTGATATCATATGACGATATATATTATTATATATAGATGTATATTTATTATCCGTATATATCATCTAACAGTATATATGTGTATATACATTTGTCTATTAAAAGATACTGTACATACCTCGGGACAGATAAAGCCTTCGACACTACCGACAGATACGGAGTTGAAGAAAAAACGAAAAAAAAAAAAAAAAAGAACAAAAGAACAAAAGAAAAAAAAAGAAAAAAAGAAAAAAAAAGAAAATAAGAAAAAATATGTTGATCTGTGGGTGTGTTATTTGGTTTGTGGCAATTGGATTGTCTGTGGGATGTGTCCTTTGCTTTGTTTCCCTGTCAGCTTTGGTTTCCTCCTCCTTTTCTTTACCTCTTCGCCTTTTGGCTGCGTTGCAAGTGGGTCCTTGTGACACACGGGGATGGGGGCAGCGAGCGCTCAACCTGTCATCCACGTGGCTGGCCTTGTACGTAAGAGGTGATGAACAGGTGGGGCTCTCCTTCATTACTTCTTTTCCTTTTCTTGTTTTGTCTTTTTCCGCCTTTGCGCGCCGATTCACAGTGTGGCAATATATGTATAGACATATGTCTAGCCGTTGGTCATTCACTCTCTTACCTATAATTCCAACCAACCAACCAATCTATTAATCAACTAATCAACCAACCAGACTACGAATCAACTATCCAAACTAATTAATCAAGAAACTAATTAATCAACAAACTAATTCATCATTTTGTCATGAAACCAAACTGACCATCAAGTAATCACGAAAGCAATCAGTCAATGGGCTATCAAATAAAGTAGCGGGTCAACTACCGTCTTCTCCCGAATAGAACATACGGTCATTATAGCTGTACTTGGGGCAATTTTCAGTATAGATTCAGCGATAATTACCGTACGTTCTATGCGGAGGAAGACGGTAATCACGAAGCGAAGCGTATACCTCTCAAGTTGGACGGTCATCCTTCCTTTCTCACAAAAAAAAAGGGAAAAAAAAAAAAAGGAAAGGAAA